GAAGCTTCAGAATCCTTGACTCCAAGGAGCATTCTGGCTTCACCCTCTCCAGGACAAACCTGTTTGTTCTCCTAGCAAGCAGTCCATGGTATATTCAACACTCTTCTCCAGCACCACAGCTCAAAGGCATCAATTCTCTTTCTATCATCCCTAGTTACTGTCCAACTCTCTGATGCATAGCACGTAATTACAAAGACTATATCCCAGATCAGGCACAGCTTAGTTATTATGTGTGTCTGATACACAATGAAAGATATGAACTGGAGAGTCAGACTGGTCAACATCATAACAGCTATGATAGCTACTACCTATGTGGGTGAGATAAATCAAGACTAGGCAGAATAAGCCAGAAGTAATAGATAAAATCACAAATATTCCTAAAGTATAAAAAAAGCCAAGGACAAAGAGATGGTTCAATTGTCGCTCTACACAGAAAATCTCAAGGACTTAACAAAAGTAGAGGTAGTGGAGGGTTGCAGGACACAAGATCAATATCCAAAAATCAGTAGGATTTCTCTACAATAACAAGGAGAACTCAGAGGAGGAAACCAAGAAAGCAGTACCATTTACAGCAGACAACCACAAACTGAGATACAGGGGAGTGAACCCAACTAAAGACACAAAATACCTGTACAAAGAAAACTGCAGAACTTTATTGTGTTCTGTGAGACATAATAAAATACCTACATAAATGGGAAAATGTGCCCTGTTCATGGACAGGAAGACCGATTTTGTGAAAATGGCAATCCTACCAGAAGCAATCTACCTGTTCAACGTAATCCCAATACAGATAATATACTCTTTTTACAAGGAGAAGAAAAGGGCAACTGTCAAGTTTATTTAGAGAGGAAAGAGACCCTGAAAAAGCAAAGCACTTCTGAAACACAAAATTGAAGCACAGCATTCTCTGACCTCAAAACCTACTATAGAGCAGTAGTAACCAAAACAGCATGGTAGTGGTACAATAAAAGGCACATAGAAAAACTGAAAAGAATCAAGAACCCAGAAATGGATCTATCTATCTATGGTCAAATGATATACAAAAAGGATAATAAAACCTATCAAGTTGGGAAAGGACAACCTCTTCAGTAAATGGTGCTGGAAAAACTTGACTGCTACCTGCAGAAAGCTCCAACAGGATCCACATCTCACATCATACACAAAAATCAACTCAAGGAGGATCAGAGACTTGGGAGTAAAGCCCAAAAACATAAAGTTCATAGGAGACAAACTGAAATCAAGCTTAGAAGGCCTAATGTGTGATATAAAGAGACTGCCAGAAATACACAATCTCAAGAGGATAAAATTGATGAGTGTGATCTTCTAAAGATTAAATCTCTGTGCTCATCAAAAACATTTTCCAACGGAATGAAAAGAAAGCCTACCAACTGGGAATATTTGGCCATACCATTTCAGACAAAACTGTACAGAATACTCCCAGGCCTACAGAAGAAAAATACTGATAATCCAATTACAAAAAGTGCAAAAGACATGGAAAGACTTTTCACAGAGGAATACAATCAGGAGGTCAATAGACACATGAAGAAATGTTAAAAATAACTAGCAATAAGAGAAATGCAAATCTAAACTACAATAAGATACCATTTTACTCCAGCAGCAGTGGCTAACTTTAGTATGGCAGCAAGTAATAAATGTGGAAATGTGGGAACTCTCATACACTTGGAGAGACTGTAAAATGGTACAACAACTCCAGAAGACAGTTTGGCGTTTTCTCAAAAATGTTAAACACATGAGCCAGCTATTTCACTACTAGAATATACCAACCACAAAGAAATTAGAACTGAGACACAAATGGAGGCTTGTGCCCCAATGTTCATTATTCAGCAATGCAAGAACATGGGAATAGCCCACATATCCAACCACAACTGACTGGATTGAGAAATTGTAGTACATTCATACAATGGAATACTATGAAGCACTCAGGAGCAACAATTTTGAAAAATATTACCTAACTTGGGAGAGAGAGGCTGAAGAGCATTATCCTGAGTAAACTAACACAGTCTCATAAGGATAAATACTCCAGAAAACATTTATTTTAAAAATAGAAGGATAACTAGTAAAATATGTGCAGGAACTCTACGGGTAGCAGGGCCGGAAGAAGAGGGGTGAGGATAGGTATGGGTGAAACCATAGGGCTGAACAGTTTGGTGGGTGGAGCGATGAGGGAGAAGCAAATGAGAAAAGGTCAATGCAAAAAGACAGGGTAATGACAGGCAAGATCCAATGATGATTGATTTTATAAAACATAATACAAGAGAATGACAGTATGAAACACAAAGTAAATGAAGAATAGTGTGAAATACAATATATATAAACTTTGTGAGCAAACCAATTGAGAAAAAAATGTAAAATAGAATTTTATGAATGATTGAATGAAACACAATGTAAATGAAAGATTGTGTAAAACATAATGTATATGAATGAAAAATAACATAAAGGAAGTATTGAATGAAAACCAATAAAAAGCACTTAAAAGAAACAGGCCAAGGAGAAGAAATTATCAAAGCAGCAAGAGGTGATATTAAGGCAGAGAAAAAGAAAGAAAGCCATGTTCCAGATCCAAAGGAAGGAAGACTACTACAGTATTATTAGACAAATCACACACAGGAGAGACAATAAAAAGAGCTCACAAAGTCTAGGAGTGAGATATAGTAAGCTAAGCTTCAATAGAGTGGCTGATTTAGGACCAAAGCATGTAGGTTAATAGGAACAAGATACCTCTTTAAAGCCTGCTCAGAAGCAGCAAAGCTCTAAGATGACAGTGATGAGGAAGAGCTCACTTTTATTACCAAAGACAATGCTATATTCCAAATCGTAACTCTTCAAGTAGTAAATCGATCTCAATCCAAAGACCTCGGCAGTGGCAGTGATCCATACTTGCTTTAATAAAAAAGGAGTACTCATTAAATTTGGAGCTGTTTTACCAGAAGGATCACATACTGACCTGCAAAGGTCTGTTTAGGTGATTTCTTTATTTTGTGCTTTTCCATTTTGCTTCCTGCAAGGTTCACCAGCTGAGCCCAGATGGAAAGCATGGGTTCTGTGAAAGGCAGGTTGGTCACACTGAATGCCACAGCTGGGATCTGAGGGTATGGAACAGAACACTTCTAAATGTCATCAATAACATAAACAAATTATTGGGAAAACTATATAACCATGAGTCTTGATCTAAAAGGCACATATATCAGCAGTTGTTTTTCCATACACTTCGCAAAAATAAAGATGACCCCTAAGACAGAGACAGAATTATATGTACAGTAAATGGAATCACAACTACACATTCCCCCCATCACACACACACACACACACACACACACACACACTCTAATTTATTTCAAGGGCTGTCAAACAAACAAATCTCATGGAGGGAGTACAACTAGGATGTTCCTTAGAGGCAAGAATGGTGAAACTTCATTTCCCCTGCTTTTGGGCATGTTGTGAGAAGGCAGCAATCTCTGAAGACACTATGATGCAAAAGATGCAGAGTCCGTGAAAGAGAAGAACCTCAACAGGATGGACAGTGACTTTAATAATGGGCTGGAGCATATCAGAGATCAGGATGGTGCATGAAAGGACAAGGTTCCAATCTTCTGTATTGCTGTCGACTCAGTGGCACATAATAACACTATGTCAATAACAACTGTATCTGGGTGGGTGGTTATTCTTATGTATTTTGTATGTTTCAAATTTTGTACAATATGCACATTCTCCTATTATAATAAAATATCATTTTATGTTATTTTTGTGCTTAGGTGCCTTTGAGTAGACAGTGACTCTATGAATAATAATAGCCAGCGCCGTCCTGATAATTTCTGCTAAATTATTACAGTCACTGTGTCAAGCCATCTACTTGAGGGTCATCTTCTCTTTCCTAGAATGACGGTTTTTTTTCGAAGGACTGGTCCCTCCTGATATGGATAAGCTCCTGATAACGCTCCCAAGGTATATAGGATGACATTTCAACATTCTTGCCTCTATAAAGGACCCAGATTACACTTTCTCCAAGATATTTGCTGTTTTGTCCATTCAACAGAACAATGTAATTCTCTCAATTACTTCAGAGAGAAAAAAATCCCACCTACCGCCTTGAGCTGGCTCAGTGGACAAACTCGACGTGCTCGCATATCAGTGAACTGCACAGTGATTCTGCCCTTCGGAGTGATGCGAGTGACAATGCCTTCTCCAAACTCATCATGAGTGACTTGGCCTCCAAGACGCAGGCGGCCATCGATCCCCCCAATGACAGCCAATACTGCCATGAGGCCTCCTATCTCAGGGTTGTCAGCATTGGGAAACTGATCTTCCATCAGTAAGAGCTAAAGCACACAGCAGACAAAAAGCTTGAGTGAGATATTCATGTAATTCCTTGCTTTTACATAAATACTTACATTTAGGCTAAACTGAGTTTTACATACACTTCTTCAATAATTATAGTAAAATACAACTAAAAATCTATCTTTGAACAAAATACACAACAAAAATATAATTTAAAACTTAAATTATCATTCTATATACAAAACAAACTTATTTGAAAACGAGGAAACTACCCCTTCTGACTGCTTTCCTGCCAAGCCGAAGGTGATCGAGTGGAGCTGAGAGTTGATGTACTTGTTTATAAGTCCATTCCACTGGCTCAAGGAGTGCAATGTCCTCAGCAGCACCACCACCTCTTCTGCTAGAGTGCTGCTGTGAGTGGCTGTAAGGGAAGCCTGAGGGCGGGCTCTCTTCCTCCTCAGAGTGGTTTCTGCAAGAGAAACACAAACTGTACAAACACTCTTCCTTCACAAGGACACAAAGGAGGAAAGCGGTCCTACCTCTGAGCAATGGGATATCGGAAGAACATGTAGTAAGCAAACTGCCCAAGAAACCAAAGAGCTTTTCCACAAGGCTTTTCATGTCCCTTGACCTCTCCGTCTTGTCCCATGATGGAAGTACTGCTTGCAGTAAATGTACAGCTAAGATCTAATCAAAGAAAATTTTAAACAATAAGCACTCAAGAAAAGCATTATCTGGCAATAAAGAAATTACAGAATTTTACATTGTCTTTCTGTTGCAGCAAGATAATTAACCATTTGGAAAAAGCATGGTTTCATTTTGCAACTAAATAATTGTATTCAAGTTGAATGACTGACAGATGGAGGTGTTCATTTCTTGAATTAATCGTTCTTTCCAGACAATCAGACCATAACTCTGGTGAAGTAGATAAGATATGTGGGTATGATTTGTCACTCACTCAATACCAAACCCTCCTTCTGAGGTCTTTACATCAGTTTCACTCCTCTGAAAGTGTACTCAGAGTTACTCTCTTCCCTGTGATTCATTACTGAGGGGGCACTCGACTGCACTAAGCCTGCATTCTGCACACATGCTCTTTGGCTTCATGCAGTCCTCACAGCCACATTGAACACTAGCACTGAGTGCAGTTACCTGCCTCTGCAGCGATGCAGCTGTGAAAGGCGCATGTCCTTCTACTATCTTTATGAGCAGGGTGATCCAGGCCGGGGAGCTAAGGGCACCACACATCTGCGGCATGAGAGCAATGCTCCGCACAAACCCGAGTGTGCACCAGCTCCTGTGCTGTTCCTTGCACACTAGCTTGTTTGGAAGAGCTACAAAAAAGAAAAAGAATCACATGGTACAATGTTTAAAAACATACAGAAACAGCTTTACTTTCAATTTACTTATTTTCTTTTCAACAGTATGTATATGTATGTATGTATTTTACAAATACTTATACAAATATCTTTAACAAATCAATAGAGGAAAAACTTATATATATATTACTCACATGTATTTTAAAGGTTTTTAAACTGTTTAAGAAAATGATCCAGAAGCAATGGAGGGGAGGCATGAATGGGAATCAATGTGAAGTCAGGGGGGTTTTGGGGTTTGGGTTAAAACACGTGGTCACTGAAAACAGTCTATTAATTTTCATCTCCTTAATGTCTTTTAAAAGGAGCCATACTGGTGTAGCAGTTTGACGGATTTAGTTAGTTTGAACACATTAGCCACCAGAAAAAATTAGTCAATCTGGTTCAGTAAAGATTTATATCTTTGGGAACACGATGGCAAATTAATTCTGTGTAACAGGGTGGCAAAGAATGGAAATAAACTCCATCATTTGAGGTTGATTTGGTTTAATGTCTCTAGGCAATGTGAAAATGACTTACATTTCAGATAGCAATTATTTCTAAGAATGTGCATCTTTTAAAATCCCACGTGTTTTAAATATTCTCTAGTATTCTATTTATACTTAATTTGTACCGTACAAGTCTAAATCCATTTTAAAAAACCTGCATTAGCAGGATGAAACTGTCACTAAGCTAATTATGTTGTTGTTGTTATTGTTATGTTATCAAGTCATCTGTGACTCATAGAGACCCTATGTACAACAGCCCTAAACCCTGCCCTATCCTGTGCCAATCTCAATGTCTTTGACACACCTACACCCATTAGCCCAGTCACGGAATCAATCCATCTCATCGAGGGTATTCCTCTCTTGTGCTGTCCCTCCACCCTCCCAAGCATGACATCCCTCTCCAAGGACTAGCGAGTCCAGCCTTGCAACATGTCCAAAGTACGTCAAACGAAGCTTCAGAATCCTTCCTTCATAGGGCAGCCTGTCTTCACCTTCTCCAGGACAAACCTTTTTGTCCATGGTATACTCAATATTATTCTCCAACACCACAGCTCAAAGGCATCAATTCTCCTTCTATCATCCCTAGTGATTGTCCAGCTCTCTGATGCATAGCAAGTGATTGCAAAAACCATAGTATGTATCAGGCGCACTTTAATCTCCAGACCGACATCACTGCTCTTCAGTACTTTAGAGAGGTCTTCAACCGCAGACGTTCCCAACACAATTGTTGCTGTTGTTGTTATGATGTGCCATTGATTCGCTTGCGACTCATGTACAAGAGTCCTTAATGCCGCTCTATTCTGTGCCAAACTTGCCATCTCAAATACATTAATTCCCACCTTCCCAATAACAGACTTGATCCATCTCATTGACGGTCATCCTCTCCTGCACCATCCCTCCACTCTCCCAAACATGATGTCCCTATCCAAAGACCAGTCCCTCCTTACAACATAACCAAAGTACGTCAGATGAAGCTTCAGAATCCTTGACTCCAAGAAGAACTCCGGTTTCGGCCTCTCCAGAACAAACTTGTTTGTTCTCCTAGCAGTCCATGGTATACTGAACACTCTTCTCCAGCACCACAGCTCAAAGGCATCAATTCTCTATCATCCCTAGTCACTGTCCAACTCTCCAATTCACAGCACATAATTGCCAAGACTAAAGTCTGGATCAGGCACACCTTAGTCTCCAGCCTGACATTGTGCTCCTTAGTACTCTTGAGAGGTCCCTGACAGTTGACTTTCCCAATGCAATTAATCTCTTGATTTCCTGGCTGCTGTTACCAAGAATGTTGTAAACTAAAACTGTTAACTATATCTCAATCTCTTCACGATCCATACTGATGCTTCCAATTGGCTCAATGGTAAGAATCTTTGTTTTCTTGATGTTGAGTTTCAATTAATATTGAAGGCTGCAGTCCCTGAATTCTGCAGCAAGAGCTTCAGGTCCTCCGCAGTTTAAGCAAAGCAGGGTTCTGTCATCTACATAACGCAGGTTGTTGATGACTTTTCCAACAATCCTAATCCCGCATTCCTCCTCATACAGCCCAGAGTCTCGGACGATCTGTTCTGCATACAGATTGAAAGGGTATGGAAACAAAACTCATCCCTTCTTGATTTTGAACCATGTAGTGTCTCCTTGCTCTGTTCTGACGACTGTCTCTTGGTCCAAGTATAAGTTTCACATAAGCAGCATCAAATATTCTGGGATTCCCCTTCTTCTCAGGGTCAGCCATAGCTTTTTATGATCCACACAGTCAAGAGCCTTTGCATAATCAATGAAGTTCAGACAGACAGTCCTCTGGTACTCTCTGCTTTCTGCCAGTTCCATCTAACATTAGCTATAATATCCCTAGTACCACGACCTCTTCTAAATCCAGCCTGCACATCTGGCAGTTCTCTATTGGCATATTGCTCCAATCGTTTTTGGATAATTTTCAACAGAATCTTGCTTGCATGTGATTATCAATGATATTGTTCAATAATTTCCACACTGTTGGGTCACCTTTCTTTGGAATGGGAACAAATATTGCTCTTTTCCAGTCAGTTGGCTAGCTGACTGTCCTCCAGATTTCTTGGCACAACTTAGTGAGCACATCCAGGGCAGCGTGTTTGTTGAAATAGGTCAATTGATATGCCATCAACTCCTGGAGCCTTGTTTTTTGCCAGTTCCTTCAGAGCAACGTGAACTTCCTCCATCACCACAGGTCTTGCTCATGTTATTTCATTAACTTCTTCTATGTCAGCCAATTCCTTCTGATATAGTGACTCTGTGTATTCCTTCCATCTTCTTTTAACGCTTCCTGGATCGTATAACATTCTACCCAAAGTATCCTTAAATATTGCCACCCGTGGCTTGAATTTGTTTTTCAATTCCTTCAGCTTAAGAAACGCTGAGCGTGTTCGGCCCTTTGATTTTCTATCTCCAGCTCTCTGCACATTTCATTATAGTATCTTACTTTGTCATCCCAAGCTGCCCTTTGAAGTTTTCTCTTCAGCTCTTTGGTGCCTTGGTTTCTACCTTTAGCTTTTCTTTCTTGGTGCTCTAATGCAATATTCAGAGTATCATCTGACATCTATCTTGGTATTCTTCTTCAGCCTTTGTAATGATCTTTTGCATTCTTCATGGGCTATTTTCTTTATATCGTCCCAGAGCTCCTTTGGTCTATGCTCATTGGTGCTCAAGGAATCAAACCTGTTCCTGAGATGGTTTTGAAATGTGAGTGGAACAGAATTAAGGTCAAATTTTGGTTCCCGCGGATTTGATTTCATTTTCCTCAACTTCAGCTTGAACTTGCATATAGTGATTTTTGATGAGTCTTCCTCCAATCCTGATGCCACATTTCTCCACATGGAGCCCAGCCTCCTGGGCAATCTGTTCTGCATAAAGACTGAAAAGGAATAGAGATAGTACACATCCCTGGTATACACCATTCCCAATTTTGAACCATGTAGTGTTTCCTTGCTCTGTTTTGAAGACTGTCTCCTGGTCCAAGTATAGGTTTTGCCTTAGCACAATCAAGTTCTCTGGGAGTCCCATTCTTCTCAGAGTCAGCCACAGTTTGTTGTGATCCACACAGTCCAATGCCTTTGCATAATCAATGAAACAAAGACAGACATTCTTCTGGTACTTCCTGCTCTCACCCAAGATCCATCTAATATTAGCTACAATATCCCTAGTACCAAGACGCTGTCTAAACCCAGACTGCACTTCTGGTAGTTCTCTGCTCATTTGCTGTTAGTCATTTTTGGATAATCAGCAGAATCTTGCTTGTATGTGATATTAATTATACTGTTCGATAATTTCCACACTCTGTGGGATCACCATTTTTTGAATTGGGAACAAATATAGATCTCTTCCAGTCAGTTGGCCCAAGTAGCTGTTCTCCAAATTTCTTAGAACAACTTGGTGAGCACATCTAGGGCAGCATCTGTTAGTTGAAACATGTCAATTGGCATAGCATCAGTTCCTGGGGCCTTACTCTCAGCCAGTCCTTTCAAAGCAGTTTGAACTTCTTCATCACCACAGGTTCTTGCTCATATGTTGTTTCATTAAATTCTTCTGTGTGTGCCAATTCATTTTGGTATAATGACTCTGTATACTCTTTCCATCTTCTTTTAATACTTGCAGAATCATTTAACAATCTGCCCAAAGAATCCTTAAGTATTGCAACTTGAGGTTTGAATTTCTTTTTCAGTTCCTTGAGTTTAAGAAATGCTGAGTGAGTTCAGCCCCCTTTGATTTTTCTGACTCCTGCTCTTTGCACATTTCATAATAATACTTAACCTTGTATTGCCACACTGCCTTTTGAAATCTTCTGTTCAGCTCCTTAATGTCTTGATTTCTTCCCTCTGCTTTAGCTTCTCGGCGCTCTAGAGCAATATTCAGAATCTCTTCTGACATCCATTTTGGTCTTTTTTCCCCCTCTTCTGTCTTTATAATGACTGTTTGCACTCTTCCTGGATGATACCCTTGATATCCTCCCAAAACTCATCCGGTCTTGACTCATTAGTGTTCAAGGCCTCAAACCTGAGATGGTTCTGAAATTCAGGTGGAATAGACTCAAGGTCATGCTTTTATCATCTGGCTATAAAATTCAACATGACTGGAAAATATCAAATATCATGTTTGCTACACCCCCCGGCACCCTACAGATTCCCAAGTTTTTACTGTGGCTATTTCTCTCTCTGTGAAGCGAGAATCTCATCACATGTTCCTTCCCTGGACCCCTCCCAAGTGCCTCACCCCATGGCTCTAACAATCAGCTCACATGTTTCAGCTCCACTCATTCTCGTTCCTACTCCCAAGGAGTTTCCCCTTTCCACACAAGACATGTACAACATACGTTCTTACACATTCACTTACATACACTACTACTCACTCATATTAACGTGCTATATTTTTAAGAGAAAATTTATAAATTCTGTTGGGTTCTCATTTTGTTTTATAACATTAATTACAAATGACTGATGATGTAATTAATTAAAAGATGTGATCAGTCCTGTATTGTACGTATTGGTTCTTCTTTCACCAAAATATTTTTTTTTACTTCCCCCACCTCATTAACCCTACGTAGCTTTTTATAGTTGTGCTTTCATAATATAATTATCCCTTTGTGAATAACTTGGTGGCCTAGTAGGTAAGAAGATGCACTGCCAATACAAAGATAGGTGGTTTGAATTCATCAGCTGCTCCTCAGGGCAAAGATGGGCAATCTTCTCCCGTGGGATTTACAGTCTCTGAAAACCTGCTATTGGGTCAGTGGTTAAGTTGGTTCTGATTTGAGAGCACATTATCACCATCATCACAAAAATTTGTCATTCAGCAGCATTTCCTGTAGATTCACTAATTGTTCAATGTTTCAAGAATTACCATTCTCTAGGGTTGCAAAATATTCCATCACATATATATATATGTCATAGTTACTGTACGCATTGGTCTGGTAATGAACATTTAGGTGTTTCCATCTCTTTCTTACTGTAAATGGTGTTGCAATGTACATAGGGATGCATCTATCTGTACATATCCCAACTCCTACTTCTTTGAAATATATGCTTAGTAGTGGGATTGCTATATAAAATGGTTATTTCAATCTCCAACAGTCTAAGAAAGCATCAAACTGCTACCCATAGTGGTTGCTCAATTTTACATCCTAACTAGCAGTGTAACAGATTCAATCTCTTCACCCCTGTTGTTTAATGTTTCCAGGGTGAAATACTATCTTATTGTTGTTTGATGTGCATTTTACAGCTAATTAATCTGGAGCATTTCTCTTCTCATGTGCATTTTATTTCCCCCTGGGCATAGACAGCAAGTTTATTTGGTGAATGCTGCTGACAAGCACATTCAATATATACAAGATGGGAAAGGTACTGTGCCAGCTGAGGAGGCCTTCACGTACAGTCTCACACCGGAGAAGGCGTAGGGTTCTGGGGATACAGGAAGGCCATTTCTCAGCCATTCAGCACTGTACAGACAAGATATCCCTAACTGATACAACCACTGCTATCCTCATGCCCCACCACCAGCATCTCTACTTCCTCCTCTGTCATCTTCTCACCCAGTGTGACAAGGACAGGCTGGATTACAGCACCCATCATAGTGCTGTTCCCATCTTTGTCAAACACCTGAAGGCCTTCAACACAGTCCTCATAGGTGCCCCGGTCTTTGTTCTTGGCCACAGTCTGCAGGAAGTGCTTAAAATCCAGGACCTTCACATTCATTATTCCTTTCTGCATGGTCATGGGTGAAGTTACACATCTTGAGTGCTCAGGTATCGGGACCTTTTCTTTTTTTTTTTTTTTTTTTCACATTTATGTAAGTTTTATTAGTCATGCTTAAATAAACACCAATGCTATAAGAGTTACCAAGCAGAAAACACACACCTGCTAGGGTCTACAGACTCCTAAGCTGACTGCCTCTTTTATGTATGGCCTCCTCTCAAGCGTAGGGCAACTACGCATATTATGATATCACGTCTGTGATTTTATTAGATTATTTGGCAAACGAAGACTAACTTAGGTGGTCCTGGCTAAGCTCTTTTTTTTTTTCTGTCACTTTTTTTTTTATAATTTTAATGAACATTTACAGAGAATTTGGATTTCCATTCATTCATTGCTGCACTTCTCTACCCGCCCAGCCCTTTCCCCCCACCCCCCCAGTTCGCTCCTCTCTTTCAAAGGTAAAAGAAATACTCCCTCCCTGGTACACAATCCCCCCCACACCCCTCCCACCACCCCAAGTACATTCCACTATGCAACCTTAATTATGGACTCTTGTGGGACCTTTTCGTGTAGTAATGGCCTTCATAGGCATCTTAACAGATTCATATATTCAGTCACAGATATATCTATACATTAACTCATGACTATATTAATACATTGTCTCATTAAAACATGCAACCACATTCACCAACACGTTTACTATATTAACACACTCACATGGGCACACTCGCACACCCTTGTATGCCCCATAGAATGACATCCAAGCACACACATGTGCATGTACACACATACATGCGCACACCCCATAGAATGACGTCCAAGCATGCTCAAAAGCATCCATGCGTGCGTGCACATACACACCGCACATCCCATTAAATGATATCCAAAAATGCTCAAGTGCACGCGCACACACACCCCTACATACACCACAGAATGAAGTCCAAGCATGCTCACATGAGCATGTATACACACCCACACACCCCATTAAATGATGTCCAAGCACACTCACATGTGCCCGTATGCACAACCCATAGAATTATGTTCAACGATGCTCACAAAAATGCATACACACACCTGCATGCTCCAAAGAATTATGTCCAAGAACGCTCACAATGGCATGCACCCACACCCATGCACACTTCATAGAATGACATCCAAGCATGTACACATGTGTTCACATACATACCCCTGCACATCCCATAGAATGATGTCCAAGCACGCTCACATGGGCATGTATACTTATCTCTGCATGCCCCATAAAATTATGTCCAATCACATTCCTGCATGCTCCACAAAATGACATTCAAACATTATTCACGAGAAATTCCTAACATACTTTTGGTAACTTACTCACATACAAATATTCAGGCACTCGGTCATACATTCACCCCATAGACACTCAAACACATTCTCTTAAAACCAACAAAATTACAGTTCCCAACTACTGACATTTGTGGCTCACAATGAATCATTACACACCTGTTTTGTCTGTTGTCCCATCTTTCCACTAGCAACAAAATCATAGTTCCCAAATACTGACTTTTGTGGCTCACAATAAATCATTACATACCTGTTCTTTCGGTTGTCCCACTTTCCACTAGCATGCGGAGCAATCCACACAAAGTCTTAGTGGCTTCACTCTGCAGAACTTCAGCATGTACTCCAGCAGACAGACAGAGAGTTTGTAGCAAATTAATAGTACTTGTAAGTATCATTGTCGTGGGATGAATAATCCCTTCAAACTGTTCTGTTTCTTTAAAAAAATTGAAAGAAATCATAGCTTAAAATAAACCTGGGAAACTGTCTCACACAAATCTTAATGGATTTCACAGTATTTCCTTGTTCAATACTGCTTAGGTCAGCACATATTTAAAACAGTAGATTTAAGAAACATTAAGCTTATTCATCTCCGTTATGCAGATGACACAACCCTGCTTGCTGAAACTGAGGAGGACCTCATGCACTTGCTGCGAAGGGTCAAGGACTGCAGCCTTCAGTATGGACTGAGGCTCATTGTCAAGAAGACAAAGATTCTCACCACTGGACCAATTGGCAGCGTCAGGATGGATGACGAAGAGATTGAGATTGTTCACAGCTTCAGTTTGCTCGGCTCCACAGTCAACACCCTTGGCACCAGCAGTCAGGAAATCAAAAAGTGTATCGCGATGGGAAAGTCTGCTGTTAGGGACCTCTCTAAAGTACTCAGGAGCAACAGTGTCTCTCTGGAGACTAAGGTGCACCTGATACAGGCCATGGTATTTGCAATCGCTTGTTATGCATCAGAGAGTTGGACAATGACTAGGGAGGACAGAAGGAGAGTGGATGCTTTTGAGCTGTGGTGCTGGAGAAGGGTACTGAATGTACCCTGGACTGCCAGGAAAACAAACAGATTCCTCTTGGAGAGGATTAAACCAAGCTGCTCCTTGGAGGCAAGGATTCTGGGGCTTCGTCTGACATACTTTGGACATGTTGCCAGGAGGGACGGGTCCTTGGAGAGGGACATCATGCTTGGGAGGGTGGAGGGACAGCGCAGGAGGGGAAGACCCTCTATGAGATGGATTGATTCGGTGACTGGGGAAATCGGGATGGGTTTGTCAGAGGCGGTGCGGTTGGCGCAGGATAGAGCAGGGTTTAGGGCTGTTGTGCATAGGGTCGCTATGAGTCGGAAACGACTCGACGGCACATAACAACAACAACAACAACAAGCTTATTCACTCTTATTCCCATCTCCTTTGTAAATGTTTAAATTTTTTTAAACAATTTCAGCCTTAAAATTACTTCAGAAATTAATTTAATTAGAAACACTACACACATGATTGTTGTTGTACTGGGTCAAGTCAGAATCAACCCAAAGCTGACCTTCCAGTGTGTTTTCAGAGGCAGTTAACTGCATGGCAGAAGACTGCCCATCCTCCTGCAGAGGAGCTGGCAGATTCAAACTGCATGCTTTCAAGATTACAATGCAGCTTTTTACCACTAGGCCTCCAGAGATAGCTCACATACATGATTAGAACAATCAAACGTCAAAAGTTTGTTTGGATGAATTCACCTAGCAGCCTAGCTGAGCACAGAACACAATGCACTCATGGGAGTGAGGGTTCAGTATCTCACAACCAAGCATTTATACACTCTCACACATGGGGATATAAGACACTGAGGTACTATTTTGTAATGGTCATTCCCTTAACGTTTGGAATTGCAACGTGAGTCATGGTCTCTCTCTCACACAAGGCAAGAAGAGCAGTGACATGTCCTTGATATCAAGTAGAGAATAGATAAAATGAGAATAAAGGTAGGACCAGAAGCTATTTTAAGATTGCAGGACCACATATATCATACTCATAGCCCTAAATTTACACAAAAGAAGGCACAATTCCCAGAAGAACACTGAAGAGAGATCTGAGCTTAATCTGCAAGACTCAGCTATTAAGGGTAAAACTGCCTGAATTCCCACTCTGAAGCACAGCCCCAAGCATAGCTTCTTCTGCAAAAGGGCTCAATCTGTAATAAAAAAGGCTCTAGCTGGAAGTCCATGAATAACCAAATCTATGTGCTGAGGTCCAACATGGCCTTATAAATAACAACAGAGAACATAGACTGACAAGATTCAGCCGCAAACAATGTCATAAGAGCTTCCTTCCTAATCTGTGGATGTGCTTTCCAAAGTCATTTCCAAATCTCAGCTCTACTCTGAATCAATTAAGTGTTGAATAACCCATAGTCTGTGAGGCATCAAGTTTGGAACAATACAGGTAAGACAATGAGTTATCTTCTCCCATGCAAATTACTACCTCTGAAAACCCACTGGAAGTGTCAGCTATGAATTGGTTTTGACTTGACAACACACAACATCAACTCACACTCTATGAGGCACTGGGAGTCTAGAACAATGGAGGCAAAACAAGAGAATAAGCAAGAGACAGATAGTGACTGTATATAAGAAGGAAGTAGTCAATGAACAATGTCAAACTGAACATGTGCCAATCTCTATTTGGGACAGCTTCTTGGCCAACTGCTCGCAGTATAAAGAAAGGAGCTGACCACCTGGACCTGACAGAATTCTCAAGTTAGAGAAGCAAAATACCAGTTATATCACTGACTTCCAAGACAGTTTATTTACCTGCATCTGCTGGGATTATTATTTAAAGGTACAGATAAAAGATGGGCCCAAATCTATAAAATCATTATCAGCAAAGAAGTCCTACTACTATATTTCTTTGCCCTCCCAGGTGGAAATGATAGCTCATCAGCATTCAAAAAGAAGTAACTCTAGGCCACTTTGAGTTACCCACCAGAGTCTTCCTCAGTGTCCAAATCCTCTGCCAAGGGCTGGACAGAAGCCTGAAGCTCTGCCAATCTGAGGTCATACTTTCCTTCCTTCCCCATTCTGTATGAGTTGGTACTGCCTGTGTCCCACTGGACCCTTATCCAGCCATCCTCTCCCAGCTCACCAATCACACGACCCAGGCCAGGTGGTGGTCCATCCTGAGAAATCAAAGTAAAGATGAGTGCAGATGGAACATTCATTGCCTACCTTTTTCAGTGTCCCTACCAGAAACTATCCCACGAAAGTCTCCAATTGGCCATTCTCTCCGGAAAGGAAATTCGTTCACCGCACATTCACTTCCTTTTAATGCAACCAGAACGCAAATACATTACCTATGATCATCACACTTCAAATTTGATAACAAGAAGTAACTTGTTTAAGCTCTGTTCTTCCCAGATACTTATTACTTACTGTTGTCCTTTTACAAGTCACTAGAAACTTTTGCTTTCTTCTCATTTGTCAATGAGTTCACTGTGATTTATATCAATCCCACATATGTAATAGTAGAATTGTATTCTATACGATATTCAAAGTTGTGACCCTCTAGAAACATCACATGATCTCCTTTATGCGGTATCACTGGGTAAGTGCAATATCAATTTATTTAATATTAGTCAAGCTAGCAGTTTTCATCATTTAGGGGCTCAAATCCTTGCTACTCCTTAGGATTTTAAAAAAGAAGACAGAGGTAAAAAAAACAGTCATCTCCAATGGAATCTTTTCTACACAAATGAAGATGGTGCTTCCAGTGGGGTGAGAACTGCCTTTTCCGTGGTACTCCACATCCTACACTGAACTGAAAAGGATTTAAAATCACACACATGTCCAGTTCCTACATCTTCTAACTTGGATACAGAACAGAACCTCTCTCTCATTTTCATCATAGAACATACATTCTATAAATGCTATTGTCGATGCAAGGATACTTTAAATTCTAAGAGGGCAATGGAGAAGACCATGATTAACAGTTCTGTTGAGAAACATAGACATAACAAGAAAATCTGTCCAACTTTAGAAAAATACACATACCAAACATATCTGGGACACAGAATAATCATGTTCCATCTCATAGGATCTGACAGAAATTTGGAAGCATCAGGCTAGAAATTTGGCTACAGATCACATCCCTTCATGCCTGCCTTAGAGCTTACTGTCATTCAGGAGGTTTATTCCCCTTTTATTCATGCCACCACTTACTCCGGTTACAAATCAAATGAACCAAGTGCCAATTAGTTTTCTGAAGAAAGGTCACCCTTTTACAGTCCCACAACAGTGTGTGTTCTACTTTGGTCAAAAGTTATGAACTCTATCATCTTATGATACTTATCAATTGCACATATCCTGCACCTTATGTTTTATTCCCATCTCCTTCACTAAATCTCATATAAATCAGAAGATATAGAAAATGGTTCATGTGTGAGTAGTGTGTTAATGAAACCTTGGCGTACCTGATCTCCCCATTTCCAGTCCACACCTCTAATAACCCTTGTTCCAATCTTCATCATGGCTGCCAGCTCAGGCCCTGACACAGGGACTTGCATAGGAGTTGTATCCTTCCTTGTTTCTTCCAGAACAGTGGCAGAGGCTCCTTGAGCAGAAGCATTAATATCTTCTTCTACATTGTCAGAACTAGGGCCTAGCAGAACAGAAGAACAGGAGTTGAGGCCATGAGTTAATAGCATTTCCTAACTGTAAACATACAGATAGATAAACAGTCATGGCATTAATGGAGATTATATTGAAGGATACAATAAAAACTTTATAAAATGAAACTACAAACCATTTTACTGCTAAGATCTAGGATTTGAAAAAAGGGGGGGGAATTACAAATTAATATCATATCATTAATATCATATGCAAACAACCTACTCTGGAAGATCAGCAAACAGGTTAGAACAGTACATAGAAAACTGCCAGAAGTTCAAGCAGAACTGAGAAGAGGTCGTGGCACCCAGGATATCACTACCAATGTCAGAGAGATCCTGATGTCTACTGACCATGCAAAGGTATGTGACTGTGTGGATGATAATAACAGGCCATTACTGGGAAGAATGGGAATCCCAGAGCACTTAATTGAACTCATGCGAAACTTATACTGATACCAGGAGGCTGTTGTGCCAACAAAGCAAGGAAACACTGTATGTTTAAAATTAAGAATTAAGAAAGAGGTGCATCAGTGTTGTATTCTCTCTCCATATCTATTCAATCTATATGCTGAACAAAGTATTTAAGAAGCTGGCACCTATGAAGAATATGGCATAAAGATAAGGGTAAGCCTCATCAGTAACCTGTGTTATACAGAAGACACCACCTTGCTTGCTGAAAGTGAAGAGAACTTGAAGGGCTTTTTGCAGATAGCTCAGCATAGTGACAGCAGGACCACAGCTGAGATCAGAGTGCAAGCAGGACTGAGCACCCTCTCCAGAGAATTTTGCCCAGCCACCCCACCCTCCCAGAGATACTGGATGCACTCTGCAAACAGAAAGGTTCCTCCCAGCCTCCCACATGAGAGGACAATACCTTATCTTTGAAACCATTCTGCAACCTGAGAATTAAGCTTAGCCATTGTTATGCTGTCGACAACTACATATAAGGAAAATACAGCCTCATGAGATAGGAATCTCTTTTGATTATTGGCTTAGGCTAAATAAAAACCACAGGAAGACTAAGAAAGGGGCACAATGTTAAGCTATGAGAGGACCTCTGTCCAAGCCTTCCTCTTTTTCATAATTCATTTCCTCGTGTCCCTGATTTCTTTCTGTGTCCGGTTAACAACAACTTTTGCAGAAGAGTAAAGAATATAGTCTTCAATATGATTGCATCTCAATGTCAAGAAAACAAATATTCCTACCACTGGACCAAGAAGCAATAACATGACAGAGAAAAGACTGAAGCTGTCAACTATTGAATCTTGCTTGGATCCACAATCAACACCCTTTGAACAAGCAGTCAGGAAACGGGGAAATGTATTACACTGGGAAAGTCTGTAATCATGACTTCTCCAAATTATTGAGCAGTAAATAGTCAGTTTGAGAACTAAGATGCATCTGATTCGGGTCATGGTCTTTCTGATCACTTGCTAAGCATCTGAAAGCTTGACAATGAATAAAAATGACAGAAGAACAGTTGATGTCTTTGAGCTATGCTGTTGGAGAAGAATAATGAATCTCCCATGAACTGCCAAAAAAAGCAAACAAATATGTCTTGGAAAAAGTGCAGCGAGAGTGCTCCTGAGAAGCAAAGATGCTGAAGCCTTGCCTCACATTCTTTGGGCATGTTGCTAGAAGGAGCTATTCCTTAGAGAGGGACATCATCTTGAAAAGGTCAACAAAAGAGAGAAATACCCTCAACTAGGTTGACTGGACTCAGTGACTAAAGCAATGGGCTCTAGTGTATCAGGAAGTGTGAAAATGACACAGAATATGTTAGCGTTCAGATCTGTTGTAACCTGGGCCACAAGGGGTTGTACTCGACTCAACACCACTTCACAGCAACAATACTAAGAAAAGCTAAATGTAAATATAATTTTTAAATAACAAAGGCACTCATTCACAATTTTGTCACAGGAAAACCAATAACAATCACTTAAAATGCCAGTTGTTGTTATGTGTCATTGAGTTGCCTGAGATTCACTGAACTACCCTGTGTCAATCTCACTGTTTTCAACACACCTACCCCAGTCCCTGAATCAATCCACCTCATAAAGGGTCTTCCTCTCCTGAGCCGTCCCTCCAACCTCCCAGACATGATGTCCTTCTCCAAGGACTGGTCCCTCCTTGCAACATGTCCAAACTATGTCAGACGAAGCTTCAGAATCTTTGCCTCCAAAGAGCAACCTGGTTTAACCCTCTCTAGGTTGAACCTGTTCGTTTTCTTAGCAATCCATGGTATTCAATACTCTTCTACAGCACTATAGCTTAAAGGCATCAATTCTCCTCCTATATTCCCTAGTCAATGTCCAGCTCTTTGACGCATAGCAAGTGATTGCAAAGATCACGGCCTGTATTAAGCGTTCCTTAGTCTCCAGAGCGACACCATTGCTCTTCAGTACTTTGGAGTGGGTCCTAACAGCAGACTTTGTCACTGCAATATGTCTTTTAATTTCCTGGCTGCTGGTGCCAAGAGTGTTGACTATGGAGCCCTGCAAATTAAAGCTGTTAATAATCTCATTTTCTTCTCTCTCCATCCTGATGCTGCCAAGTGGCCCAGTGGTGAGAATCTTTGTCTTCTTGATATTGAATCTCAATTCATATTGAAGGCTGTAGTCTTTGACCTTCTGCAGCAAGGGCTTTAGGTCCTCCTCAGTTTCAGCAAGCAGGGTTGTGTCATCTGCATAACTCAGACTGTTGATGAATCTTGCACAAATACTGATGCCACACTTCTCATAGAGGCCAGCCTCCCAGATAATCTGTTCTGTACATAGGTTGAAAATGAGACACATCCTTGGCAGACACCCGTCCCAATTTTAAACCATGCACTATTTCCTTGCTCTGTTCTGATGCCTGCCTAACAATGGAAAAGTAACAAACTTTCGTTATGGTACTGTATAGTTGGTACACATGCCAGATGGAGGCTCATATGGTCAGTAAAATACTCTGGGAGGTGAGTCTCTGATGAACTTACTATCATCATTACAGGTGTGTTATCAAACCATTTCAGATGTGTTATCAAAACTCACTGTGCATTTTGGGTGAGTCAACCGAGAGTTGCTGCTGTTAGGCACCACTCACTCAACTACCACGCATAGCAAATCTATAAACATCAAATCAGAATCTTGCCTTACCCTGCCTCATCATCACAATCCAGTTATGGTTAAATCCATTTTGTAGTGACTGTGTCAATCATCTGTTTGAGGAATTTTTTTTAAATGAACCTCAACCATTCTCTGTATGTGCTGTTTTTTATGCTCCAAGTATATGAGACTACGTTTCACAACACATGCTTCTAAGGAGCACTCTGAATGCACTTCCTCCAAGAAAACCTGTGTTCCTTTGGTAGAAATCTAGAGACCACTTGGTCAACTGATTGGAAGAGATCCATATTTGCTCCCATCCCAAAGAAGGGTAACCCCACAGAGTATGGAAAGTATAGGACAATATCATTGACTTCACATGCAAGCAAGAATCTACTGAAGATTATCCAAAAACGACTGGAACAGCACATCAGCAGAGAACTGCCAGAAGTCCAGGCTGGGTTTAGAAGGGGTCATGGTACTAGGGATATTGTAGCTGATGTTAGATGGATCTTAGCTGAAAGCAGGGAATACCAGAGGAATATATATCTGTGTTTCACTGATGATGCCAATGCTGTGTGTTAAACAACTGTGTTGATCATAACAAACTGTGGCTGACTCTGAGAAGAATGGGAATCCCAGAACACTTGATAGTGCTAATGCAAAACCTACACTTGGACCAGAAGGTAGCATCAGAACAGAGAGAGGAAACACTGCATGGTCAAAATTGGGAAGGGCATATGCCAGTGATGCGTCCTATCTCCATGCCTTATGCAGAACATATAATCTGGGAGGCTGGGTTCTAAGAGGAGCAGTGTGGCATCAGGATTGGCAGAAGATCCATCAACAATCTGTGTTATGCAGACAACACAAACCTGCTTGCAGAAACTTAGGAGGACCTGACGTACCTGCTGCAGACGGTCAAGCACTGCAGCCTTCAATATGAACTGAGACTCAATATCAGGAAGACAAAGATTCTCACCACTGGACCAACTGGAAGCATCAGCATGGATGATGAAGAAATTGATATTGTTCACAGTTTTAGTTTGCTTGGCTCCACAGTCAACAGTCTTGGCACCAGCAGCCAGGAAACAAAAAGACATACTGTGATGGGAAAGGCTGCTGTTAGGGACCTCTCCAAAGTACTAAAGAGCAATGGTGTCGCTCTGGAGACTAAGGTGCACCCGATACAGGCCATGATCTTTGCAATCAGTTATTATGCGTCAGAGAGCTGGACAATTACTAGGGAGGATAGAAGGAGAATTGATGCCTTTGAGCCGTGGTGCTGTAGTCGAGTATTGAATATATCACGGATTCCTAAGAAAACAAACAGGTTCATCCTAGAGAGGGTTAAACCGGGCTGCCCCTTGGAGACAAAGATTCTGAGACTTCATCTGACATACTCTGGACATGTTGCAAGGAGGGACCAGTCCTTGGAGAGGGACATCATGCTTGTGAAGGTGGAGGGACAGTGCAGGAGGGGAAGACCCTCTATGAGGTGGACTGATTCAGTGACTGGGGCAAATGGGGTAGATGTGTCGGAGACAGTGATATTGGCATGACAGACAAGGGTTTACGGCTGTTGTACACAGGGCTGCTATGAGTGGCAAGCAACTTGACGACACATAACAACAACAACAATGCTGCATTATCATTAAACATACTTCATTGATCTTCCAAAAACTGATCTTCATCACTGTCCACAAAAAATCATAGCCTACAATGTTGCTATTGTTTATTGTCATCAAATCGAGCACGATTCATAGCGAACCTATGAACAAAAGGCCTGAAGCCTTTCTATATTTTTCTCCAAGTTCACAGTTTTCAGAGCCATGTGGTTTAGGAAGCGGATGCCACTCCTGCTTCCAAACCTGAATCAATCTGGGAGTTCTACCAAACACTGC